TGATGACGGAGGCAGTATGACCTCTGAAACGTCGGTAAGCATCGACCAGACTACACAGCGCAACAACCCAGAAGACAGAAATCTTCATACTCTGATGACGGAGGCAGTATGACCTCTGAAACGTCGGTAAGCATCGACCAGACTACACAGCGCAACAACCCAGAAGACAGAAATCTTCATACTCTGATGACGGAGGCAGTATGACCTCTGAAACGTCGGTAAGCATCGACCAGACTACACAGCGCAACAACCCAGAAGACAGAAATCTTCATACTCTGATGACGGAGGCAGTATGACCTCTGAAACGTCGGTAAGCATCGACCAGACTACACAGCGCAACAACCCAGAAGACAGAAATTTTCTTAACACAATTCAATAATACGTGCATCTGACAAACGTGTCCCTTGCAGATCGTTTTGTAGTCGAGGCGAATGTCTCTGCACTGCCGAGTCGGTGAGCACCTGCATATGGAGAGTGCACCGATCAAAGAAAACGGTTTTGGAAAGGTTACGAACCTTACGAGTAAGAACGTGCGATGTGGAAACCAAATCAGCCTTTCTTCATTGACAGAAATGTCACGGTATCGTCATTTCGGTCTATTTCATATTCGACAGTGTTTATTTTGAAAGCCTAGTTCCTGAGCTGCGTTTCAATAAAGGCTCGTTTACAGCAAGTAACGCGGAAAGGGAATACGCAGCTTTCTTTTGTTAATTCTTTACACGTCTCCCCAATTCAAAGCGACAATAGAAGGCTAAGAGTAAGTTGGAGAACAAGAATTCTTCAGAAACGTTCCCTACAGTTCACGACCAATTTCTCAAAGTGCACAGCGTTTCGAATAAACAGAACATTGTCATTTTGCCAGTCCCCTTCCATGACTAATAGTCATTAAAAAGTACAGTTCACCCATAGAATTGTGCAGCCTTATCAGCGAATACAATGCAATTTAGGCTATAAGGTGATTTCTTCCGTCAGTATTTATCACTGGACACACATCGGTACAGTAATCAGTTCATAAAGAAATACATCGTCGTTACAAGTTGCAAGATCAGAAATGCCGATCCGTTAATGCAATCAGCTTCAGCATTGTTAAAAAATTAAAATTAGAATTCGTATTTTTACCATCAGTCAGAGAAACGCAATACAAACAGAAAATAACTCGCTCATTCAGCCCGCTGGATCGTGTAAACAGCACAGACGAAAAGAACTGCCAGATCAAAATATACGATTTTGAGTTAAACAAAATCTTAATAAACGCAAAAGAAAAAAAACAAGAAATGGAAGGAAGGCGATTTAATTACCGTATGTTACTGCGATAAACCGATCCAAATCACAAATATTAAAAGCAATAAACTGAATGTTCCAACCTTTTATGGCCGAATGGTATGGGTTTCGTACTATTTTCACTATAAACAACTATTCCATACTACACAGCGCAACAACCCAGAAGACAGAAATCTTCATACTCTGATGACGGAGGCAGTATGACCTCTGAAACGTTGGTAAACATCGACCAGACTACACAGCGCAACAACCCAGAAGACAGAAATCTTCATATTTTAATCGCCCTGATGAAGGAGGCAGTATGACCTCTGAAACGTTGGTTAACATCGACCAGACTACACAGTGCAACAACCCTGAAGACAGAAATCTTCATACTCACCGCTGTGAATACCTTAAATTATACGCAGCGATAATCTGCTGATCCTTTTAATGGTAAAGTGTCGTGTTTTCTTTTCGGTACGGACTGAATTCTTAAATATAAGCCTCGGCTTCAGAGGGTTAAATCGTCACGCGTATAATAAGCATCTTACAAGAGTACTTGCCGGGTCTGAGAAGAATCCATTCAGTTCCGAGCCGAACAGGAAAGACGACTAAAGCTGCAAATGTTGAAGGGAATGTTCCAATGCGTGATGTTAAACGAGTCTGTACACACCTAATAGTTCGCAGCTATTTACCGACGGGAGAAAAAAGAAGCTCGGAGGCTGTGCTGACGGCCGACCAACCCAGCGCCGGTGAGATACGAAGACATTCACGGAACTTCGGATGAGGCGGCACAAAGCACGCCCCGCGTTTCCGTCAATTAGCAATGTCAAACCTGGATACAAATTATACGCGCACATGCACTGATCCAAACTCTAGCATCCCATCAACTGACAGTTTCATTCATCGCACTTCCTCCCGGTGGACCTGGCAATCATTCGTTGGCTGATCAACGCATTACAACTCCAGAGTAAAATTAAACGTGTGACGAGGAATTTTCTGAGGGGAAACTCAGTCACCGGCGTCCATCCTGGAAGATGGAAAGGGCGTTATAAATATTTCTTCACCGAAGTGACAATTCCAACCAACACCACAAATTCTAATGTGTAGCTATTAACTTTCTATTACCGCCCTGATGACGGAGGCAACAAGCACCTACGAAACCTCGCTAATGGCAAAAAATATCAAGAAATAACAATTCAATAATAAGCAAAGAGAAATATGGTTAGATGTGCAATATGTAAAAATGATTTAATTACAGGCAATGTTATAAAAATATTCGAAAAAGCGAAATAAAATTCTTGTTAAAAAAGACGTCAATGTACTTGTAAGAGCCGAGTTAGCTCATCAGAATAGCGACCGGCTACGGGATGGACGACTGGGGTTCGATCCCCGTCGGGGGCAGAGGATTTTTCCACTATCCTCCGCGTCTAGACCGGCTCTGGGGCCCACCCAGCCTCCTATCCAATGGGTACCGGGGTCCTTTCCCGGGGTAAAGCGCTGGTGGGGCGTGACGCTCACCACTCACCCCCATCTAGAGCCGAGCGCTTACACGGCGTAGGTAAGATGCTAAAATACGACCTAACTCACTCTGTTTTCACAAGGTCTCACTTGCTACACTACGGTCAAAAATGTGCGTTGACAATGGAATAAAAATGTCAGATCAACCACCTCAATAATGAACGACGGAATGGCATCTACACCAAAGCACTCCGACGGTCTGAGACGCTTTCCAGCCCTGATGACTTCATCGTCAGACAGCTAGACGCTGGGAGCATGAAGTCTCTCGTGCGGGCCAGATGTGTTTAGCAAACGCATCAGCAATTCTTTTTAAGTTCTTCAACAAATTGGTCACCCACTCCGATTTGAATAAATGCGTTATCATTTCTTTTAACATTTGGAACTTGCCGGTATTTCCAAATCTGCGTAAAAACGAAAAAGAATTATAAAGTTTAACATATTTCGTTTTTATAACGACAAAAGAAGTGATTTTTGTTATTAATGTAACGTTTCAAAATACCTTAGAACCGGCACTGAAACTTGGGCTTTATGGTTCACGTACAAGAAATAGCTTGCTTTAAAATCAATCAATAAATACCCAGTTAAACTCGTTAACAGTAGAGTCAAAAGAGGACCGCTCATACACAAGTTCAATTCAACACAATAATAATAATAATAATAATAATAATAATAATAATAATATGTCGTTGTGCAAGAATAAAACATTCCTTTTATATTCCACAGATGGCCAGACCAGAGCATTCGCCACTTTGTTGTGGTCGGTTCTTTGCCATTTGCCTGTATTTTATTAATGTAATTTTCAAGGTGTATAAACTTTCAGAAACCGGTCACAGTGGCCGCGCGGTATAAGGCAGGACCCTTGTGCGATTGGACACTGGGGCCGTGGGTTCGTATCCCACTCAGGACATGTATGTTCGTCCGCGTCTTTCTGTGTTGTGATATCCTGTGTACAGATAGCGAGGCCTTGCGATGGGCTGACCACTCGTCTAAGGAGTTCCGGCAAATGTATAAATAGATGAAGCGTAAAAACAAAAACGTCAACACCTACAGGTAAAAGAGGATCGACCAAGAAGAAGATAAACTTTCGAAAATCGTAACAGTAACGAGATAAATCAAACTCATTTTATATTTTCTTTATGCTCAAGTAGCAAATTATCACTCGTTACAATAATAATCACAATAAACACTTGAGTAGGATATCACAATCCACACAGCATACTTCTTATTACATTAATAAGTGGCTACATGTTACGATGTCAACATATCATCTTCAGGCCACAAATAACAATGGCGGGTCGCAAATTATATATATATATGCATGCATTATATTGCACTTCTACTCCCATATATGTATGGTATAAAACCGATTCAACTATAATTAATAAAATCATACCCCATAATGGATTGATTGAATGTGTATATGTGTGTGAGCGCTATGTAAAATTGTTATTGGATAAAATCATATTTAATCAGTACCATCTACAGTTCACTCACGACTTCCGAAATATATTTCTGCTGTTGTCATCAAAATCGTTGTTCTTTGGGCATTGTACTGATATTACTTTCAGTTGCCTATTTAAGTATCTGTTATTACTAGTGGGACACGTGGCAACTGCCCATTAATTCAAGAAAGGGAATCGTTGAATATCTTTAGGTTTCCATTTGTACCCCTAATGAAATAGTAGATTCCACCCCAACTGCAAATAGTGGTGAAAGAATAAAAGATCAAAAGACTGTGGCGTATGACACAACTGTTAGCCACACGAAGGAGGCAATGGTTTTACAGCCAGTAATGCAAAAATAGGCCCAAGAATCGCTTAACAGCGTTGCCGTGGCAACGAAAATAGGCCCAAGAATCGCTTAACAGCTTTGCCGTGACAACAGTTTTATCAAGCATAACACACAAGTATAGTCATACAAACATTGTCCAACAAGATCATGAACTCTTCCTGTTCGAATGTTGTGACTATGTGTCTGTCATGCACAAATTACTATAATCGTTGCCATGGTAACGCCGTTAAGCTACTTTCGACCTTGTGGGTGAATGTTTAGTATTGTGTTGTGCTTGAATTATAATACAGTAATTACTACTGTTCCAAGCACGTAACAGGCGTGCGACAGGGCAGACCACTCCTTTTATTCACCTTAGTTTTCCAGACTGTTTAGGAATTCTTTAACGTAGTTCTCAGTTCAAATAAATCACGTTTGAAATGACTTACCGAGCAGTCTTCTGACTTCCGACTGAGTGAGGTAGAGGTTGAGGTTACCATAACACACGTCGACTAGACACAGGACAAACATCACGGCTTTCGCCCAACAACACGACGAATCTGTCATTGTCTTACTGCACTGCATTGTTGTTCTCAACAAAAGCCTGTGTTTTCGTCGAAACTCCACGACAGATAACCATGGAGTACTGTGATCACAAACATGTTTATGTAATTTTAAGAGACAACGTTAAATCATGCTGAACAAAATGTGTACGGATCTAACGTTTCACGACATCTTGAATTCGACTAACTGTAACAGTGGCAATGTCCGAACACCTCTCAGGGTTACGGAACGTACTTCCTGCACTCACAAACTGAAACACATTTAACAGCATCACTGCAATGATATTACACACTAAGGCTCCAGTGAAATAGATAGACCTGTATGGATGATTATTCAGAGAACAAACGAAAACTAACCCTCTACACTCCCCGAGCTGAACTAACTTCTCTGCACTGTCGAAGGCAAGGGTAGTCAGGCACACAGAGCCGGCTGTGGCTCGTTACGAACACAGCCGAAGGGAACCGAATTTCGCCGAACCTTTCCATGGGTTGTCTGCGACCTCTCCCTTCGCAGCATCCAATACACCAGACACATTCAACTTGTTTCTACGAAATGACACGAAGCAGATGCCTGAAACCAAGAATAGCAGAACTAAGGAAATCACCCCACTTGAAACAGCAAAAACTACTGATAAAGAAGAGCCGAAAAGAAGGCATTCCGCTCGTCCTACAGGAGTTGAGGATTCCTCTGTAATATGATACTACGGGACCGGACCAAATTACGTTTTTATATTATTTAGACGATTCTTGATTCCGATATTTGGCACATGGCGTAATCTACAGCGAGATTTCTCGCAGTTTTATTTGTGCTTAATAAACAGAACACAAAAATACGTACTTGAATTTTAAAAAAAGACTGCGAAGGCATAATCCTTGCAGGAATACACACATGCTTTCTTTGCAAATTCTGAATTATTAATAAACGATTACGTCCGTTTGTACCTAGGCAGATCATCTTCAAGTAATGTAAAATCAATACCGACACGTCGTAAAGCGCGTAAGCTCTGTAGAGTCGTCCGCATGGGGTCATGTGATTGAATCCTGGTTAAATTAATTTATTTCATGCAGCCTCCATGTTGTTATTTATGCACCAAACTTCGTATTTTCTGGAAACCTATAAAATGTACCACTGTGTGGCCCAGCTGAAAGTTGCGTTCGTTACGATTCCATCTCAGTACTCGGTTTGTAGCAGCCACGGTGGTCTAGCGGTCAGAACGCTGGCCTTGTAATCCTGGGGTCTCGGGTTCGATTCCCGGCGGTGCCCGAATTTATAACTTGTGTTGGGCAAGGCCGTGGTCTAGGCAACACGGAGTTTTCCTCCGGGGGCTTCCCCGGTTTCTCCGGGGCATCCCAACAATTCCTCCATTCACACACAGAAGAAGGCAATGGCAAACCACTTCTGGATCATCTGCCAAGAACGTATATGAACAGGTCCCAGTCCGAGAAAAGGATGGAAAGATCCTGTTCATATGGACCTGTCGTCAGACAGAACACTAATAATAATAATAATAACTCGGTTTGTACGCCATGTTGGTGTTACAAATTGTAGGAAGTCGAAGAGTACGTTTTTAGGGCAGTTCCGAAGTTCACACAAAAATTCGTCGAAATTCGTGCAGTGGTTCTTGAGCTGAATCATGCGGACAGACACACATGGCACATCGAACAACGAACGCTGACCCAAACAGCGACGATTTCCTGCCGTCTTAGACTGTAGTTTCTAGCTTTATTCGCGACATCGCAAAGATTAACGTTTAGCGGACACACGATGCTCGTCACATTCAAGGAAACTGACAGACAGATTGTGGCTCTAAGGTGTTTTGGCCAGCCCTATTGCAGCTGACCAACTGCTCTTTCTGGAATACCATCACCCACTGCAAGCGAAACTTGTTCTGTCTTTACTATAACAAGCGCAGAAGGAGCACAAGTGACGTCACTTTGAGGGAGCGCACTGACAACTCGGGCCGGTCACACCACACTTGTCCGCTTCACGGCGCTCGGTCGACAAAACTCGCTTTACACTGTAGGCAGGCTATTGATTTTGGTTAGTCATGCACGAAAGACGATGTTCACGTCAGTCCGCAAAAGCAAGTTCATGAATTGTAAAGTACTTGATCAGGACACGGCCAGGACAGCAGACTTTAAAGGCAGCCTACATCGAGACATAGGCGACGACCGAGGTAGTGGGTTCGACGAAATCACTAGCAGTACCAGGCCAGGCTACAATTATTATCGGGCAAGGCCGTGGTCTAGGCAACACGGAGTTTTCCTCCGTGGCATCCCAACAATTACTCCATTCACACACAGAAGAAGGCAATGGCAAACCACTTCTGGATCATCTGCCAAGAACATATATGAACAGGTCCCAGTCCGAGAAAAGGATGGAAGGATCCTGGACCTGTCGTCAGACAGAACACTAAAAAAAAAAAA